ATTCATTTTTTATTAAATATTTTTATTTTTTACTTTTAGGGGCTTCTGGGAAATATAAGGGGGCTAAACAGACCCCTGATATTTCCATTTTAAAATAGAAAAAGAGATTGAGAACACAAAGTCCTCAATCTCTTTTTCTGTGTCCCCTGTTATCAATGAACAGGAATCCTCTATGAGTCTTCCTGTTCATTGATAACATGCATTGTTTGTTCACTATAACTACAATTATGAATGAATGGGGGTGATTTAGATCACCCCCATTCATTCATAATTGAGGATATAGTTAACATACCATATTCTCAATTATGTACACACACTCAGCGATCACTGATCGCTGAGTGTGTGTACCTTGCTCTTCTCTCTGACACGCTGTCGCAGGAGGCTGATTGAGCGGTGTAGGGAGAAAAGCCCAGCCTCCTGTGACAGCGCTGTCTCCGCCCCCACACCGCTCTGCCGGACTGTGATAGGCGGCAGAGCGGTGTGGGAGGAGACGCCGGCCGCTCACAACGCTCTCCACCGCAGCGCTCGGCCTGCTGTCACTTTCTCTTCTCCCCGCTCGGACATGGAGCAGCGCCCAGCGGGGAGAAAAGAGAAGCTGATTTCTACAGCCGGGAGTGAGCAGCGCAGACGCAGGTAAGTTTTTACCTATTTGGTAACTTTTTTTTATTTAAAAAAAAATGTTTTTGCATATATCTACTGCTTGCTAGCAGTAGATTTATGTAAAAAAATTAGACTTAAATGTCACTTTAACCTTCTCCATAAAAAAGAGAAGGCTTTCTGTGTGACAAATGCTTCCAAGATATTATAGCACTCTATAGATATATAGAGTGCTATATTATATATAGAACAGAAAGCATTGCTTGCCATTAAGCAATTTATAGTTGCTCTAAATAGCAAGGGCTGCCAACAATAGTTTTGTGATCTGGCATAACAAGGACAACTTTATAGTAGTTAAGCATGTGCGGCTACATATGCTCTCCTAAAATTGTATAAAGCAACTGCCATGCTGTGATTTGATAACAGAGTGCTGCTCCCAATTTCGAGCTTCACTTGCGATAATTAGACATTTCTTACCTCCTAGAGGATCAGAGGCACTCATATTAGAACTCGGTTGGTATTTTCTCCTTGTTAGCAGGCTGGCCCTTCACTCTTCCATGTACATGAGGAAAAGAGTTGAGGTGAAGCAAAAAATAATAAACAAAACGCAATATTAGCCAAAAAAGAAACTCAGACATTACAGGTGTCAGGAGCATGTATTGCACAGCACAGCTTACAGTTGTCAGGAGTATGCAATTGTGTAGAGTGATGAATGTAAAGCTCCCTTACGTTGGCAGGCAGTGGTTTATGGACCCCTTACCTTGGCAGGCAGTGGCGAAGAGCTTCCTTATCTTGGTGGGCATTGGTGAAGGGTCCTTTTTCATTGGTGGGAACTAGAAGCTGCGCTAATTAGATTGTCTGTCTCTTCCATTGAGAGTCACAGGAATTCTAATACATTTGAGTTATACTGCCACCGACAGAAGGAATGGACAGAAAAAAATGTAAGCCAGCCTTTGTAGAGTCTAACCAAAATTTGCTAGTCTTTTTTTCCTTTTATATTTTTTCCTCAGATTCTTCTTTTATTGACTTTTTTTCAAGATTCCTCACTACAACACTGCTTGGGCTGGTCTACTGATAAAAGTTAGCTGCAGAGCACTGTCCAAGCTCAGAGCCATTGCACAGGCCCAGGTGTGACCGTCTCTGAAGAATCACTTTGAGTGTAAGGCCAGTTCGGCTGAAACGTTGGGAGCTTTTTGCTCCACTAGGCACCTTCTCAGTTCCCTGCTTCTGCCATTTTTTGCATGAAAAGCATTAGCTCCAAGGAATTTAGTACTGATATCATCTACTAGGTGGAGTGTCACACCTGCATGCTCTATGCTCTCTTTCCCACCATTCAGTGTAGAAGAAGCACCATCCTGCTGCTGCTCTTCTTTGAAAAGCACTACATAGCTCCTGTCTGTTCCTATTGACTGCTTAAAGTGACGTGGTTATCTTTTGCCAGTCTGGGTCTTCCAGAACTCCTGCAGCTGCAGATACATTTCC